AAAATGGGACATTTAAAAGGGGACGGAGGGAGTATTCATTATTAGAATTCACACTTTCTGCAATTTCAATAAGTAAAAAGTCAATGAAGTTTATTAAACATAACATTTAACTATGATTTTAAATAAACACCATAGTACAATTTAATAAAAGAAATAAGCATACAAATTACTTCCTCCATCACTTAAAACTTTGTCATCTTTTCTTTTTTAGGTCATCACAAAATCTCTGTCATTTTCTCTTTTAATCAATTAATTTGTGATTCTCACCATTTGTCTCTTCTCTATATAAAACTCAATCACACAATCCACACTTATTATTCTCTGTGCCGATTATACTTGACAAAGTTGTGAGAGATGAAGGGTGTGTATAACTTAACAAAGTGTTAAAAAATCCACATGTGAAAAGTTCAAATTTCAGTTCAAACAATCCAAATAACAAAGTACCAGTAATGGGCTTGTAATACGTAAAAGTACCCATCCGCCCAGAACCACATGTCTAGGGTTCTTTCGTTAAGTCCAGACGTTTCATGACCCACCTACGTCTCATCCTATCTTCCCAGTGTGGCAGCGTCCAAATGCCCGCTCGCCGCCATATCCAACATATATGAACCAATTTTCCCACCGTTCTATCCTAAAAGCAACATCGTTTACCACCATTTATCTTCCAATTCGTTCTCCTGTCTGCATAGCTCTCTTCTCACGCAAAGATTTCGCCCACGACAATCTTATTTCATTTCAGATAAGATTTATTATCAAGAAGATATATGTGTCCACTCTGTTTCCTTTGGGATCACTACAATTTATAGTTTAGGTTGGATTCAGCCTACAATATTCACTAAAAATTCTACTACCCCGGAATTGGTTCCAACGGATACATGTAGCAAACATGCAAACATTTATCAGGTGATATTTTCTTCAAGTTAAATTTTTGTTTAAATTATCATTTCTTATATTTCCATACAAATCTTGCGTTTTCATATTGTTCCTAATACCTATAATGCATCTGTTCCTAATACCTATCATGCATGCTGAAATATTCTACATTTCTACCTCCATAACTTTCCAATGAATTGGTGCACTCATAGACTTTGACATCCAGCGATATTTGAAATAGATATAATTAACATCCAATAATATATAAGGAAAAAATGATTTTTATATGAAGTCTCTTAATGGTTGAAATCTTATGTTTTTCAATGTTTTAACCTTTGAAAATGGTCTTTTAAGTAGTTTGCTCACTCGACGGTTCGGTATTTATGATTTTTCTTAAAATTATATTTATTCGACACTAAAATACGGAATTGATTAGTGTCAGATTTTCTATATGTATGTTTACAGATATATATATATTAGAAAATAATTTATCTGGTTTTAACACAATAGATTAAACTTAATTTCATATTTAAAAAATGGGCGGAAAACATAGGGCTTAATGCCCACCAAAGGAATTTATTTGTTTAGATTCCAACATAATGTTAGATCTAGAATACCCTATGTTAATCGATTGAATAGTTCAAGTATTTAGAAACACTTTTTATAAGGTGTGTGTGTGTATCAGAATTAAATGTTTTTAAAAAAATCAAACTCCTTTAATAAGTTTTTTAAATTCCTTATGGCTTTCATATGAGATTTAGTTATAAATTCTGTAAACTTTGTATAATACCTATTGATCCCAGAGTACTTGATTTCCTTGAATTGAAACATTTGGATTCTCTAGTGTCAAATGTGGCCTTTGAACTTCAAGAAATTGGTTATACCTTTGTGTTGTGGCGAAGTGCTTACTTTTTCGCCTTTCAGAGAGTCTGGATACATGGTACATTCAATATAATGATTTTTTTGCCAATATCAGTCTAATGCCTATATGGGTTCTTTGTAGCAAATTTCAAATGTGCTCCCACTTTGTTGTATTAATTAAACATTTGCACCCTCTCAAGTGAGAGAGTTGCAGGCCTTTCTCTCTTTCTTAAGGGATGTTTGGTTCTCATAAAGTTTTAGGAAATGCCAACAGAAGTGCAGGTAAGCTGTTTTCCTCTTCTTATAATCATTCTGTGTCACTACAAATTTATAGTTCTAATATTACTTATACTCAAATGTAGAATATACCTTTTTATTTTTCTGAATATTTCAAGCATAGAAACACGTTCTATAAGATATATATACCTGATGTTAAGTTACAGATGTTTGTGTAGACACACACAATTGTTTGATACATCATGCATAGTTAAAACCCCAAGTGTATTATATAAGGAAATAAGGAGCACAAGTGTTGATTGACATACATATCATATTATCATATCACTAATAGTACTAAATCATTAAATAATAAAAAAATATTGTTGAACTAAGACTTGTTTTATGACCTTCTAATATGCAGATTTCGATCATTAGATGGAAAAACTTTGATGTGGAAGATATATAACAAATCTCAAAATCTGCTACATCAGTAACTCATTGGAGGCCATGGGACAGAAGGAAGGAGCTCATATTTATAGCTAGCCAAACCTTCTATGTATTTTGGATGTGATCTTTAACTTCACATTTAGTTATCCAGAACAACTGCTCAACCGTCAAGATGTTGTCTGGGTGATGGCTTTGATGGAATAACAAAGAAAAGAAATAGGACGCAGATCAATAACTTGAAGTGAAACGATGGAACAAATGCTTGTGTGATTTGACCACATTGAAAAGCCTGTTTATATAATTTCTGATGTAGAGACCATTTAGTTCCCACATTTAGCCTCCCCAAAAAATTAATTAATTGTATATATTTCCAAAGCACTATTGTCGTAGACTTGTAGATCTAGACGTGCAAAGCAAGAGGCGCATCTTATGCATTGTGTATTACGAAATAGAAATTCCAATGGGCACACATATATATACTCCGTAATATAAAACATAATAATCATAATAATAATTCAGTGCAATCCAGTGCAACTCTACATATGGATTCCAGGATGTACTGCAGTGATATGGGCGGGAATACTGTTCAAAACCCATTTACTATTATTTTATAATAGATTTCAGGCCTTTTGGATGGCAATTTTCTCAAGGTGGTGGTCCATTCAAAACCAGAAAAAGAGTGCAGAAGTGAACGGAGGGATAAAAATATTAAAGAAATAAAAGACCCAGGATAGACGATTGAGCCAAAATAGGGGTGGATTCGATTCGGGCCACCTGGCCCGTGACCCGACCCGGCCTGCTACTGTGCGGGCCCGAGACCGGCCCGGTCTGGCGGTCCGGGACCAGGTGTAGACCCGAATCGGTGGGGATTGGCGGGGCGAGCTCGGTTCCGGAAATAGTTGACCCGGCCCGGCCGGGTCAGGCCCGGGTCCGGGTCCAACGGTCACTTTTTAAAAAAAAATATGTTTTGGACTTTTGGGCCAAAATAGCCGTTGGGGAGTGGGCTGCAGGGGGGTCCGGGGGTAAAAAAACCTATAAATACTCCTAATCTAAAACATTTTTTCATATTTCTTCTCCAATTCTTCCTAAATCCTATTCTTAACTCTCTACTCTCTAATTCTCTTATTCTCCAATATATTATATTTTTTATTTATATATCTACTTTATATTAATTATCTACTTATAATTTATAAATATACATTATAATATTATATTACTTATATTTATTATATAATTATATATTACTTATACATTTATTATATCTATTAATATAGTTGGAATTATATCTAATTAATTTGAAGTCATCCTATACATACTTTTATTTTCTAACATTTTTATACACATCTTCTCCAACATCCAATCTCTAATCTCCATTCTCCAATCTCCATCTCCATTTATTGTAGAATTATTATATCTACCATTTTTAAGATGGAAAGTCAAGATGCCGTTATACGGTATAATTTTGATAAGCAGAAGGACCCGAAGACCGGGATGTGGTACGCAACTTGCAAATGGTGCAGGAAAAAATGTAGAATGGGGTTTCATGTGGATACGGAATGGCAATGAAGCATATTAAATCATGTGACAAAGCCAAAGGATCGGGAAGTGCGAGAAGTTCCGATTGATTAAAATTTACAAAATGTACGTCTCTTGAAGTTTGTTTTAATTTTCAAATGTAGTTTCTATTTCATTTCAAATAAATGCACTTGAAGTTTGTTTTTAATACTTGTATAAAACTATAAAGTATAAATTATAAAAAAAAATTACTTTAACCGACCCGGGCCGGCCCGGCAGGTGGCCCGACCCGTGACCCGGACGGGTGGCCCGGCCCGAACCGAACCCATCCAACCCTCGGGCCGGTCCCAGGTCCATGAGATACAAACCAGCGGCCCGACCGGGCCTAGGCCCAACCCGGGCCCGACCCGGCCCGAGTCCACCTCTAAGCCAAAATTGGCATGGACCGGTTCCAACCTCTAGGCCAAGCCGAGCTTCAAACCGTTCTAAACAAAGCTTTTTTATTGGGGTTAAGGCCTAGAACCGGCCCGAGATTCTACCGGGACCAGACCGAGCCAAGACCGGGTCAGGTAGCGGGTTTTTTTTTGCTTTTCTAATTAATTCCACCCCACCCCCCCACCACCCCACCCCAAGGGCCCAAACCCCTCCACAGCACACAGCCTAACACGCGGCACGCCTACAACCATAAGACTTTGAAGAAAAAGAATTGGCCCAGGCCGGTTCCAAAGAACCCTACAGCCCAAGCCCGCCCCTAAAACACCCCTGAGTCTGGTCCTAGGCCCATGCCCAATCAAGGGAAACCGGGCCAGTCCCGCACAGTGGCAGGTTGGTCCGGTTCCCAGGCCGGGCAGACCGGAACCGGTCCAGCCCTAAGCCAAAACCGTAGATTACCTATATTTGTGTACGCTTGGCACAAGAACAGTTGTTCAAGTAAAAAAAAAAGCAGTACTAATTTGTACCCGTAGGTAATTTTAGTAGATAAACCTACATTAAAAAATCAAATATTAATCTACATAGTCCGAATTCAGAAACAAAATATTAAACCAAACAATGAGATATATTAACCTACAATGATTAAGCATAATATTAACCTACAAAGATTAAGCCCATACTACATTCCCACAAAATTTAATTAAATGCATTAAATAATTACAAATTTTAATAATCATACATTCACTTGCAAGGAGTACACAGTTCTACAAACCTAACCCAAACACCCATTGGACACAACACCCATTAGAGAGTTGGCAAAAAACAAAACACGTCAGGTAAATAATCCTAGCACGCCAACAACGTTTGGTCCAACTCATCCAAGTAGGGAGTTTAATTCCTCAAACTCAATCAATGTTTCGTGTTCGAAAATTGTGATTGCAGCAACAGAGGTTCGATGAGCACCCTAATATGACCCAAAACAAACTTCAACTATACTTAAATATTATTTATTAATATTATTATTAGTATTATTATCTTCATCACCATCACCATCATCATCATTATTATTATATATCCAATAACATAAAGTAAAATACTCTTAAGATATACAACAACCTACCAATTCAATAACATCAGAATCCGAAGAAGACTCATCACATTCAGAAGAATCCATGCATGAAGATACAAGTTCTTTGCAAAAGACGTCCAACTCCTCGGGGGTAAACCAGTCTTCCTTCATCTATACAATATGTATATTCATAATCCAAACTAGTTCAGCCAAAGAGTGTTAGTGAATAATGAGCTTTTATGATGCAGTTGGATATGTTTGCTTTGTACTAATCCTAGGATTCTTAGGAAATGAAATAATCAACAAATATTAAAAAACTAGAGTCTTCGAATTCGGTGAGAAGGGTTTTGAAGGGCTAAATAAATGTCTTGGTGCATATTAAGCGAACAGATAATATAAGGGAGATTTCCTATTCTACCCTTGCACTTGTCCTTCCTAATAGGGTTTTTTAAATAATCATTATAAAACATAAAAATATAAAAATAAAAAATAAAAATCATAATAAATAAAAAATATACAGACCTCAACCACCACCTCAGCCACCTTCCAGCATCGCCACCTCCGGTCGCCGGAAAAGATTGCCAAGTTGGGGAAAAAATATCATCGTGATGATACTTTTGAAAAGAAAGTTTGATATTTTCAAAGAGTAAAAATGCCTTTCAGAGAAATGTGGCATTTTTTACACAAGATGACATTTTTTCTGGCGATCGAAGGTGGTGGTGCTGGACGGTGGAGGATGCAAAGGTAGTAGCCTACATATTTTTTTAAGTATTTCATTTTATTTTTTAGATTTTTTTATGTTTTTTAAAATATTTTTTATTTTTTAGATAATATAAGGGAGATTTCCTATTCTACCCTTGCACTTGTCCTTCCTAATAGGGTTTTTTAAATAATCATTATAAAACATAAAAATATAAAAATAAAAAATAAAAATCATAATAAATAAAAAATATACAGACCTCAACCACCACCTCAGCCACCTTCCAGCATCGCCACCTCCGGTCGCCGGAAAAGATTGCCAAGTTGGGGAAAAAATATCATCGTGATGATACTTTTGAAAAGAAAGTTTGATATTTTCAAAGAGTAAAAATGCCTTTCAGAGAAATGTGGCATTTTTTACACAAGATGACATTTTTTCTGGCGATCGAAGGTGGTGGTGCTGGACGGTGGAGGATGCAAAGGTAGTAGCCTACATATTTTTTTAAGTATTTCATTTTATTTTTTAGATTTTTTTATGTTTTTTAAAATATTTTTTATTTTTTATTTTTTCCCCGAGTTTTTTTTATTAATTTATAAATATTTTTACGATTTTTTATGTTTTTATTATATATAAAACTATGGTTTTTTGTATTACTAAATAAATCAATTAGAAATTATAGGTTGGGGGTAGAATAGAAAGAAGAGACATATTACTCCTATTTTGGAAATAAAAGGAGTAGTCTTAATGTGGAATCTTGGGTTACTTTTAGTCCCATTTAGGGCTAATAGCCGATAATATAATAGGTGATCACATAACATTTCAACCACACTTTAATTGTTTTAAGAAACATTTTCAGTTATCACAAATGTAAAGTAGCCCCTCCCAAGTCTTCTTTACTTGTCAAAGTGACCCGTAGTACCCCAAATCTTTCTAATGAGCTAATCATTTTTCTTCTTCCTTTGCTGTAACAAATGCCCATATTACAAATTAATTTTCCAATTTTCCTGTCAAACAGCTACACTCATCTCTACCTTTCCTTCTGTTATAAATAACACGGAGTAATAAATCTAAATGTATTTACTATCTGGTAACTCATCAGTGTATTTTATGTTTGATGATGACCAAATTTTGCACTGTATAGCTACTTGTATTTATCTTTCGCATTTTTGAATAAAGTCCCATTTTATGATATTTGCTTCACGGCAATGATAAGTGAACAGTACTCCTTTAGTGCCAAAAACGAGTCATGCTCCTAACCTTTATTTGTCCCAAAAAAGAATCATATATCAACGCAACAAGCTTATTTCCATTAAATTTAATGCAATTTAGAAAAAAGTACTAAACGAGTATTCTATTTAACAAACACAGGTAATCAATAATATGAGGACAGATGATTTACATGAATTGTACCTCAATACAATACAAAACATTACTTGATGAAATATGACTTTTTTTAGAACAGAGGTAGTATTTCATAAAGTTTATAACTTCACAGTATATAAAGAACCATAGTAATGTAAAGAGGGTTCATGAGAGTGACTCACATAGTAAGGGTAGCCCTCAGACAAACTAAAATCTTCTGGTGCAAGTCCTAAGAAACGATCAATGAAGTATAAAACATAGTACCCACACATATCATTGTTTCTTTGTTGCGGGACCTGGAAGCGTTAATTTTCAAGTGAACAACACAAGCATCTACATTAAGTTTAATGCTTATATAAAACTCTTCCCATGAAACATGAGAATGAATCTAGTGCTTCGGATTTGAGATGTATGCCTCAAAACAGGCCAACAATGGAGCAGATTTGAAAATGAGGTGGTACTTGGTAAATAAATCAATATTTTCTGCCACCACAAGTGCACAGCTTGAACTTAACAGTTCATCACATTGAACAAAAAGTTCACAGTTTCGCACTAAACAAAAAACACTCAATCCAAGGAAACTGCAAGTGGAAAGTACTAAACCTTGGGAACTCGAAAAGGGATCTTTTTTATCATCTGCTTTGTCTCTGTTCTCTCCCCTGTGCAATAAAGATCAAAAACGAATCTGCAAAGTAAGAGCAAGAATAGATGATTAGTGTGCTACTTTTAAGTACAAAGATGAATCTTTTTCAAGTGAACAGGGGAATTACTACTTTCTTATTCCAGATTCTAGTTGTTTGGCGTGTGCATCTTGCAAGGAGTCTAGCAGTAATAGGCAAGGAGTTTCAGATTGAAAAGTTTTGCCCATGTTGCACATGATCAATAGACACCAATGACCCCTGATAACATCTCACAAGTCAGCATATGTTATGATATATTCCTCTCTTAAAGGGTGCGTTAAAGGTATGTTTTGGGTCAAAGGAAATGCTAGAGGAAAGAAAATTTGACAGAAGTAATCCCAATTATGACCGTTCTGCTTTTAGTGGTCCTAACTATCAATTATTTTTGTATAATCACAACTAGTGATTTGTCTTCTAAAATACTTCCTCCATCCCAAAAAGGTTGGCCAAATTTCCTTTTTTGGATGTCCCAAAAAGATTTGTCATTTCCATTTAAAGTAAGGAATATGTGGCTAAAATTAATTCTCTCTCCTCTGCACAAATTTCAACCACACAGTTTTTACTTTATTAATCCACGTGAAAGTCAACTTTGGCCAACCTTTTCGGGGCGGAGGGAGTAGTCTCTAACTTGTTCTGACCTGGTAAAGTGGTATAGACGGTTAATTCGGAAGGTTTTTGACAATAAATTATCCCAATTATTGAATATTTTCATATAATCCCAACTATTGATTTGTCTTCTTAAAACAGTACCTCCATTTAGTTTAATTTCACTTTAATTTCATCTCTTCTGTATTGGTTATATTTAGCTTACTCAAAGAATGAAGATACCTCCAATGCTTACGAATATTTATCCCATTTTACTATTTTCCAACCTGATTGATATCAATACAAGGGGCAAATCGGAAGTAGTATGAAAACACATCCTAACTATGGATCATTTATGTTAAGTCACAAGTTTAACTATGTCTGCTTATATGCTAGAGACTCCTTGGACACCAAAGTCCTTTTCCACTTAGGCCCAACTAATTCCACTTATATTACACCCAATCCCACTTAGATTAGGTGCTAGGGTCATAGTGTGCTACAGCCTAATCTACCGCCTAGCAGGATCTTGCTGATTTTTATACCATTTTTAAAGGTCATGTTTCGAAATCGAAAAGTTTCAAGGAAAGAGAGAGAAAATGCTTAAGAAAAAAAGTTTCTTATGCTTGGTTTTAACTAGGGGAGTATGAAGGAAAACCAAATATGGTCATATTTATTTACAATTGAATTACATTTCTTAGTCTTTATATAACTGAACTATATAACCAAACGAGTTGGAACAAACATGGAAAATGACTTTGAACTTTAAGAGCTCGCTTGGTGACCCTTTTGTCGGCTTGTCGGGCTTATCGGCCAGTTTTTTCAGCAAAAACGTAACTTTAGATTTCACGAGCTGAATTGTGTAATAATAAGAAAAAGTAAGGTTGGAGTTACTTTTCTGGGTGTATTGGGTGAAGTTACTGTAGAGGATCATTTTAGCTATTTTTCATACTCCCTCCGTCCCTTAAAGGTTTGCCAAGTTTGACCGGCGCGTAGAATAATAAAGTAAAAACTGTGTGGTAGATATTTGTGCAGAGGAGAGAGAAATAACAAGAGCCACAAATTGATTAACTAAAATGGAAACTGGCAAAATTTTTGGGACAACCAAAAAAGGAAAGTTGGCAAAGTTATAAGGGACGGAGGGAGTATAATTTTTTATTTTATTTATTGATAACAAATATTTTAAATATAATTTTTTCACAAATAAGAAGAATAAGCAAATACAGCCAATTCAGCCAGAACCTCATAAATTTCAGCAGAATCAGTCAATTCAGTCAATTTCAGTGTTACCAAAAGGGCTCTAAAACTCCTTTTGTTCCCATTTTATGCTCTACATTCCTTATTTTTCTCTTTCTCAGGCTTTTCAAGTTCCAAATTGGCCCTTTAGATAGAAAATTTGGAGGTGATGGCTTGGAAAGACTTGGTTCATATCATGGAAGTAGAATGTTTCTGGAAATAAATAAAGTGTGATTGAAATTTTACAAGTTGCCCTGGTATGTTATTCGTACAACTTTTATAAAATATTACATTTACTTAAGATAGACTTAGCCCTTCAGTCCTACATCCAAACTGACGTAACGGGGGAACAGATTGTGAACTTGATGCCTCTTACATGGAGGCCTCAAGCCTTATCCCAATGTAGTACAAGGTGTAACTAAGCACAACATCTTTTAACAGCTAAGTCTTAGAAAATATACCACTGAATGATAGGAACAATGACATATTTTCTGGTGAAGATCTCTTTCTTCTTGATCCAATCCAAGACCTTAGCTTTAGTAGTTCTATCTGTGTATAAGTGATACCATAAGGAGTCAAGGCATGTAAACAAACTTTTCCTCTCTTCAGAAAACTTCATCCATATTTTCCTTCATAAAAAAAATTAGGACAAACAATGAAAGGCAGAATAATGCAGTCTGCTTCTTCGAATTAAAAAACATCATAAACCACAAATACCCCATATAGCACTCAAAGGCATCTGAGTCTAACTTTCCAAGGCCATTGCTTTCGTATCTTCTCCTGGACCGTCCACGACAGTGCATTGCATTATGTGGGATAACTTCATCATCACTCGTTTCAGCAAAGTCCATACAAATTTGCTTTTTACATGTGCGTATTTTTTTTGCTTTGACATGTAACAAATGGGTCTTTAGTTTCACCACACTCCCATCATGCTGCCATCCTAAAAAGAAGTAGTTTATAGATCAGAACCATAACTGAAATGAACAGATGATGAAACGATAAAAATAAAATGCAAGCAAAAAGGAAAAACAGTGGCATGTCTATGCGATACTCTGTGTTAAATTATAAACAATCATCCTTTAAGCTGAAGAAACTCCACCATGATATCATTTTTTGGTATCATGCTTGTCCCAAGCCAGGACAAAGGAGGAAGGTGTTGTGGTAGGCGTGTGACGGCCAACAGTATCACCTAGTCACATCACATGACATGAATCGAAATATGAATATCGCTAATGCTAGGTCGTCACCCGTAAGTGACGCGTCATCCCTCCGCCTAGGGGTGGTGTCAAATATGCAAGGGTGCGCTACACTTCATAGACCTGGGTGTGGTGATAAGAATGCTAAGGTTGCTAGGTCGCCGCCCGGAAGCGGCGCGTCATCCCATTGCCCGGGGATGGTGTCAAATATGCAAGGGCATGGTGGGGTCCGAGATGGGGCTAAGAACAGAAGGTGGAGTGCTAGATTGCGTTTTGGGACATGGAATGTTGGATCTCTTACAGGCAGATCATCCGAGGGAGTCGAGGTTATGAGGAGAAGGAATATCAGCATTATGTGTGTGCAAGAAACTAAATGGGTTGGAGAGAAAGCACACGAGATTAATCCCGGAGGTTTTAAGTTGTGGTATTCGGGGAGAGATAAGACCAGAAATGGGATAGGCATTATTCTGGCGCGTGACTATGTTGAGGATGTGGTAGAAGTCTTCAGGAAGAACGAGCGCATCATGAGCATTAAATTGGTGATAAGGGGTGAGATTGTGTCTGTGGTTAGTGCCTATGCACCACAAGGGGGATTGGATGCATCTACAAATCAAAGTTCTAGGAAGATCTTGAAGACGTGGTGCGATGAGTGTCAAGGGGAGAGAAGTTGATCATAGGAGGTGACCTCAACGAGCATGTGGGCTCAAGTCGTGATGCCTTTGAGAGTATTCATGGCGGACATGGTTTTGGCACTAAGAATGAGGCGGAAAAGAACATTTTGGATTTTGCCTTGACGTATGAGTTGGCTATAATGAACATTTGGTTTAAGAAAAGAGACTCTCACCTTGTAACCTATAAAAGTGGAGCTAATAGTACCCAAATTGACTATTTCTTAGTACGGACCACTTGGAGAACTAGCTACACTGATTGTAAGGTTATTCCAGGTGAGAGTGTTGTCACTAAGCATAGGATGTTTGTGTTAGACTTTCGAGGTAAGAACCATAGAAGACAAGTTAAACAACAAGTGGAGCCAAAGATAAAGTGGTGGAGGCTTGAGGGAGATCTTCAACAAAGCTTTACACACAAAATGGTCGGTGAAGATGTATGGCGTATTGATAATGAAACACATGTGGATGATGTGTGGTTATCAATGGAGTTGACCATTAACAAAGTGGCAAAGGAGGTACTTGGAGAATCTAAAGGATGTCTGCCACCTAAAAAGGACACGTCTTGGTGGAATGATGAGGTGAAACAAGCCATAAGGAACAAAAGAGATTGCTACAAAAAGTTGGGGACAAGTTGGAGTGAAGAGAACATAGAAGCATACAAGGAGGCTAAAAGACAAACAAAGAAAGCCGTAAGGGAAGCACGAGGGAAAGTGAACAAGGAGTTGTATGAAAAGTTGGACTCTAAGGAAGGAGAACTAGATATTTATAGACTTGCTCATCTTCGTTATCGCAGGACTCAAGATATTGCAAAAGTTAAGTGTGTGAAGGATGTGGATCAGAGGATATTAATGGACGACGGAGAGATAAAAGAGAGGTGGAGGTCATACTTTGATACACTATTCAACGGGAACAAAACGCAAGATATCGGTGATTTGTCCATACCAGATTGTATGGTAAATCGTGATTTTGTGAGAAGGATCCAAACAATGGAAGTTAAAGAAGCTCCGAGGAAGATGGGACGAAAGAAAGCAGTGGATCCAGATGGCATACCGATCGAGGCTTGGAGAAGTTTGGGAGAGAGAGGCGTCGAGTGGTTAACAAGTTTCTTCAACATGATTTGGAGAAACAACAAGATGACAACGAGTTGGAGGAAGAGTACTCGTATCCCCTTATTTAAGAATAAAGGTGATGTACAAGAATGTGCCAACTATCGAGGGATTAAGCTTATGAGTCACACCATGAAACTTAGGGAGCGAGTGATTGAGCAAAGACTTTGAAGAACTGTGAAGATTTCAGAGAATCAATTCGGTTTTATGCATGGTCGCTCAACAACTGAGGTCATTCACCTTCTTCGGGAACTTATGGAGAAGTATAGAGACGCTCATAAGGATATGCATTTGGTGTTCATTGACTTAGAAAAGGCATATGATAGGGTACCTCGAGAAGTTCTTTGGTGGGTCTTAACTAGAAAAGGCATATCACGCAAATATATCAGCATCATCATGGATATGTATGAGGATTGTACTACAAGTGTTCGTACTAGTGTAGGGAGGACTGAAGAGTTCCCTATTACTATCAGAGTGCACCAAGGATCGGCTGTGATCCCTTTCTTATTTGTCATAGTCATGGATGAACTTACAAAGTCAATTCATGACGATATACCGTGGTGCATGATGTTTGACGACGATATTGTATTGATTGATGAGACGCAATCAGGTCTTAAAGCAAAGTTGGAAGTATGGCGACAAACATTGGAGAACAAGAGTTTCAAACTAAGTCGAAGCAAGACAGAGTACATAGAGTGCAAGTTTGGTGGAAATAGAAGCAATGGTAATAGTGGAATTACTCTTGATGGTAAGAAGATACTAGTCAGTGATATGTTCCGTTACTTGGGCTCCATAATTCAGAAGGACGATGAGTTAGATGGAGATGTATCTCATAGAATCAATACAGGGTGGATGAAGTGGAAGAGTGCGTCAAGATTTCTATGCGATCGAGGTATGCCGACTAGACTGAAGGGTACATTTTATAGGACAACAATTAGGCCTGCATTACTGTATGGCGTAGAGTGTTGGGCGGTGAAACAATGTCACATTCAAAAGATGAGTGTGGCAGAGATGCGCATGCTGCGTTGGATGTGTGGGCATACTAGAAAAGACCGCGTGAGGAATGAGACAATCAGACAAATGGTGGGAGTAACACCTATTGAAGACAAGATGCGAGAGTCACGCCTACGGTGGTTTGGTCATGTGCGTAGAAGACCGAGTGATGCACCTGTCATACGAGTTGAGATGTGTGGAGAAGAGGGAGGGAAGAGAGGGAGAGGAAGACCCAAACAGACGTGGATTAGGGGAGTTCGAAGTGATATGCTTCTTCTGGGGTTGGATGAGGGCATGACTTTGGAGAGAGCTAAGTGGAGGGTGGGTATTCGTGTGAATGAGTGATCTCGTATCACCTTTTCCCCTCAACATTTTTCCTTGTTTTTTATCCTTGTATATATAAGCATTATTTGTATCCTTTTTATTTTATCATTTTTATGTATATTCATCTCTTTTATATTATTTGTTGATCATAGCTTGTCTTTTTTATCTTTATTTTCTTTCTTTTCCTTTTGGTGGTGATATCATGTATCGATTCATGTTAGACGACCCCAATATCTTTTGGGACTAAGGCTTGGATGTTGTTGTTATCCTTTAAGCTGAAGACACTAAAGCAATAAGAACTACAAGTGGGGGCAAGGTAGTCAAAGTCGAAAGGCGCACTTGAAGCGCTAGGGGCCTTCCAGCGCCTGAGGCGCAAGGCGCAAATAAAGCGCTCGCCTGACTCGGGTGAAGCGCATTACTTAGATAAAATAACATATACTATTCTATAATTACCAAATATGATGTATGTAACATCATATTGAACCAAATGCATATAAAATCCAGGATTCACCAAAATAAAGTCATGATTTACAAAAAATAAAACACCAAATTCAGAATTCATGGCTTTAATACTAAAACTATAAATAAAAGACAATCAAATTGGAGCCTATTTCCCCTTGTTAAACTTGTGAGCCTACATAGTACTATTACTTTATTAATAACATAGCAATATACTAGTGCTGTGAGTATCATAGAGTAATAGAGTATTATGACTATTATATACAAAGCAATATACTAATGATGTGAGTACTATAGAGTAATACTTTATTACATATACTAGTGTTGTGAGTAATAGAGTAATGCAGAGTATTAATACATTATCACGAGTAATATAGAGTATTATATTAATATATACATAGTAATATACATAGAAATATACTATAAGAGTATTTGGATGAAGAAGACTGCATGAAGAAGAACACATATCTTGTTTAGTGGTGTGAGGGAGAACTGAGTTTGCTTAAGATGATGAAGAAAACTGAAAGAACTGGCTGGTGTAGAGCAACTGAGTCAGAAGAGTGAGTAGGCTGAAGAGCCGATGATGGCTAGTGATATAACTTAGTCGCAAGGTTTTAAGTTTTTACGTACTTTACTTAAAGCTTTTACGTAGGTTTAAATGGTTTTACCCTATTATTTAGATGGGCTGAGTGTTATTAAAGATATGGGCTAATTATTTTTTAAAGTTTTAAACCAAAAAAAAGGCTTGTCAGTCTTTTCTGGATCAGGCGAGCCAGGCGTGCGCCTCCTGCGCTTCTGCGCTTCATGCGCTTATTCTGCGCCTGACCCAGGTACGTGCGCCTCCCCTTCTCCCAAGCGCTGAAGGCCCTGCTCGTTGCGCCTGGTGCGCTTAAGCGCTGGGGCGAGCGCTTTTGACTATTGCTGAAATGAAATGGGTAACACAGAAACCCAAGGTAGTCAAAAGCGCTCGCCCCAGCACTTAAGCGCACAAGGCGCAGCGACAAACACCCCCGGCGCTTGAAAATAGGAGAAGCACGCATCCCGGGGTAAGGCGCAGCCTATGCGCAAAATGCGTAAGAAGCGCTATGATGCGCACGCCTTGGACGCCTGAGACGGAAAAGGCTAATAGCCTTTTTTGGGTTTAAAACTTTATAAAACAATTAGCACATATCTTTAATAGCACTCAGCTCACGAAAAAGATCCTAATTCAGTTACCTTCATTTACTGTGGAAAAGTAACTAATGGAGGGATTTACCGGGCAAAGCTTCATCAAATAGGAGGGGATAGAAATGTGAAGGCTTGTTTGAAATGTCCAGAAGATGTGAAAAAGATGCTTAGGGAATATATGCAATCAAAAAAGGATGCCAAGATCAATTATGATAAACTGCCAGAACATCCTGATTTCGATGCATTCCATGATCTGGAAGATGATGACAGTGAACCTGAGGAGCTGCAGAAAGATCCTAGAGGCAAGCTAAAAAGACCTTGTCACGTGCAGCTGCAGCAGACCAAAGCATCTTCAAAGAAAGGAAAAGTAAAAGGTCCTATGGACTCTTTTATCTTCAAGAAGCCAGAAAGGGAGACTGAAGCAATTGAAGATCGATAAGAAGTTGGATAAGCAAACTTTTTTTACGAGAATATAATATAGCAAACTTTTTAAGAGAAGTAGCTATACAATATATAGCAAACTTTTTTTACGAGAATGAGATTCCTTTCAATGTTGCCCGGTCCCATTCTTTTGAATGTGCTATTGAGGCAATAGGACAATATGGTCCTAATTTGAAGCCCCCTAGCTACCATGAAGTGCGGGTCACATGTTTGAAGAAAGAAGTTGCTAACCTCCAAAACATGCGAGCTGACCATAGAGCTATATGGGTCAAATATGGCTGCTCAATAATGGCAGATGGATGGACTAGCACCACAGGTCAGTGCATTGTTAACTTCTTGGTTCATTCTTTGGCTGGTTGTGTGTTTATAAAATCTGTGGATGCCTCTTCATACTCAAAAACCGGTCCAAAGGTACTAGAGCTATTGGATGAATTTGTTGAATATGTTGGGGAAGCAAACATTGTGCAAGTTGTTACCGATAATGGTACTAATTTTAAGTTACGTGGTAAGTTATTAGAAATCAAGAGGCCAAAATTATATTGGACGCCGTGCGGTGCGCATTGCATTGATCTAATGCTAGAGGACATTGGGAAGCTGCCTTTGGTTTCAAAGACCTTCAAACGGGCTGTGAGTGTGACTAACTTTATTTATAATCGAACGGGATTATTGAATTTAATGAGGAGGTATACGGGGCAGAGAAATCTAATAAGACCGGGGAAGACAAGATCCTGCACATGCTACATCACTTTAAAGAGCATCTATAAGCAAAAAATGAATCTTCGGGCTTTGTTCTCTAGGAGTGACTGGAATTCCAGCAAGTGGGCTAAAGAGATATAGGTGGGAAACAAGTTGAAGACAGTATGCTAATGCCTACCTTTTGGGATAATGCATATTACATACTCAAATTTATGGGTCCTCTTGTGAAAGTTCTTCGACTCGTAGACAATTAGAGGAAGCCGGCAATGTGATACATATATGAAGCGATGGATAGAGCCAAAGAAGCTATAATAAAGGCTTTCAATGGAAGAGAAGAGAACTACAAAGCTACTTTCGAAATCATTGATACAAGATGGGAAGATCAACTCCATCATTCACTACATGCGGCTGGTCATTATCTCAATCCAGCCTGTTTCTATGATGATCCCCAAGTTGAATTCAATTATGAGATCACAACTGGACTCTATGCTTGTATCGCAAAGTTAGTTCCACAACAAAGCGAGCAACTGGAGATTATTGATGAGCTGTCCAAATATACAAGAGCTGAAGGCCTTTTTGGAATCAATTTGGCAATTTTGACAAGAAAGACTAAATCACCAGGTAATTTATGCACAACATATATTACTGCCAGTAGGCATATATTACTGCCAGTAGGCAGTAGGCAGTAGGTAGTCATATATACTTCCTCCGTTCCATAAAAGTTGCAACATTGGAATTCCTGCACTATTCACACACCTTACTTTGACTACGATTTTCTAATAATATATATAATAAAAATATTATGTATAAAATATTAATAAATTTGTATTAATGTAAATTTCCAATATATTAACTTTTTTTAATTTTTACTAATACGTAAATAAATATAATTACAGTCAAAGTTGCGCGTTGGCAAACGTGAAAGTCAAACTGTTGCAACTTTTATGGAACGGAGGATAGTATATAGTTTCTTCATAATATATATGCTTTATGCAGTAGGCAGTATATAGCATCTTTAATTCTGCACTCTACAGTATGTTAATGGTTTCTTTTTGCATGCGAGAAATGCAGCTTAATGGTGGCGCTTGTATGGAAGCACAACTCCAAGCTTACAAAAGCTGGCAATGAGAGTTCTTAGCCTGACTTGTAGTTCTTCAGGCTGCGAACGCAATTGGAGCGTGTTTGAACAAGTAAGTTTTGAACTTGCAACTTCTAGGAATCAAGTATTAAACATTTAAAAGAAGTAATGTATATTTCTTTATGTTCTAGATTCACACAAAGAGAAGGAACAGGCTAGGAATGAAGAAGTTAAATGACTTAGCATTTGTGAAGTACAATGCAACTTTAAAAGCTCGCTTTGACTCTAAAGATATCACAGATCCGATTGCTTTAGATAACATCGATGATTGCAATGAGTGGTTGGCTGGAAACGTGAATGGAAGTGCAACAGATGACTTCACAAATAAGATATACGAAGTACTAGAAAGCACTCCAGAAATGCGAGTTCCAGTACTACTCGTAGGCTTGTGGATGAGGAAAGTGAGGGAGAAGTTGAAGAGGATGTTGGGGAATATAAATCAGATAATGGAGAAGAAACTGACTCCTCTTTTAATGACGAATAGTCCTTCACAAGTTTAATGAGGGGAAATAGGCTCGGATTTCAGTGTCTTTTAGTTTTAGTTTTAGTATTAAAGCCATGAATTCTAAATTTTGACTTTTATTTTTGTGAATCATGACTTTATTTTGGTGAATCCTAGCTTTTTAATGCATTTGGTTCAATATGATATTACATACATCATATTGGTAATTAATACTATATGTGATTTTATATAAGTAATGCGCTTCACCCGAGTCAGGCGAGCGCTTTTTTGCGTCTTGCGCCTCCGGCGCTAGAAGACTCCTAGCGCCTTAGGTGCGCCTTTCGACTTTGACTACCTTGCAAAAACCTATAAATGCCATTAAGACGTTTACAAGTAAATCTGGAATGCCATTACCTTTATTTAATTCAATCTATAGCTTAAGCATTTCAGTGTCCCCATATATTAACTTATTGTTAATTATAAATAAAAGGAAAAATTGCCAATTAAGTCCTCGTACTATGTTTAATAAGTCAATTAGGTCATCCTACTTTAAAATCAATCCATTAAACCCTCAAACTTTAAAAAAAATGTCAATTACGTGTTTCAGTCGGTAAACCTCCCGTTTTCCGGTTACCTACGTGGGTAGCCATATGGCTTTTATTTTAATGTTTTTAAATTTTTTTAATAAATTCTATCTTAAGCAATCTTCCTCAACGACTGATGGTTCCATGGTCATCGCCAAACTGCTCTCCTCCCTGCTACTCGAGATTTCAAGATCAAGTTGTCAAGTCGCTCTCCAATTTCATCTTGGATCTACATCTTTCATATCTCGTTGGAAGGCCTAGGGTTGTCGCTGTCTTGGACGGTGAAGCTGATTTTGATCGGTGACCATGGCTGAGATGGGAAGTTCGAGACGAAGACCTCGCATGGCTGAGATGTGTTTTAATACAAAAAAAAAGAGATCTGATTGTTTTTGTAAATGAATGGATTATGGACTTGATGGCGTCCGTAAATAGGTGAAGAATTCTTCACCAACAAAATTCTGCACTTGAAGGTGTTTGAGGAAATTCCTCACCCAAGACAGTAACATAAAAGTGAAAGAAGAAAGAGTGTTTGAGGTCTGAGCTTTTCTGTAAATAGCTTATACATATCATTTTAATTTACAGATCTGATTGCCTTCTTCATTGAATTTCTCTGTGCAATCAAAGGGGTTGGGGAGATGTTGTGACCGGTCCCAAGATCCGGCCGCAAGATTTCCACAAGATTTTTGTTAAAAGAAAAATTAAAGGAAAAGAGTGACATGTAGAATAGCCATGTAAGCAGGTTGACTGGGAAACCTATTGCACACCGGCTAAATCGTTAAATTGGGCGTTTTATATTAAGCGTGAGGGTTTAATTGGTTGATTTCAAAGTAGGGGGCCTAATTGACTTATTGAACATAGTACAAGGACTTGTTTGACAGTTTTCCCTAAATAAAAAATTTATCTACAATCTCAATATTTTGAAATCCACAACATTCAAGATGTTAAATAACTTGTACAAATCTTATTCCACTTTTAAGGGAATTGAGCAGAGTAGATGAAAATGAATGTGAAGTCAAGGGAATGTTATACAAAACCTGTTCATCTTTTTAAAGGAATTGAGCAGAGTAGATAAAATAAAGAGAAAAGGGTCAAATAGACCCTTTTACAATTATCAATACATTACTTAAACACATGTACTAAAATAAGCATCATACAACCATTTGTACACTAAAATAACAATCACATAAGCCAATTTACAGGAAGATGACCGGTTTTAAGGGGTCATTTGGTGATTACTTGAAATTCTTTTCTTTTTCCTTTTTTTCTTTACCTTTTTCTGTTCCTTTTTTCTCTTTCATTCTCTTCAGATTTTCTTTCATTCTTTGTTCTTTACTCCTTTTTTATTCTTTCTTTTACATCGATCTTCCTAGCATGTTCATATGTTATCTTCACTGGAAGATGGAGGCCTCTTCAGATTTCAGATTAGGTTCATCGCAGGTGAAACTTAGTCTCTCGAGGAGCATTCTCAAGTCTCAATGTTAGCAACTTAGCATCTAGCCCAAAAACAACCATTTATGGGTTTATATATCATTTGAATTTGCCGGAAATCCATTTTCTTGAACTGCTTATACGGTGTGCAGTAAAGGTGAGGGGTTGGTCTAACTGTATGGGAATATGCGAACTCAAGGGAGGAGACTCGGTCAGACTGTCAGAGGTCTACAGATGATCTCAGACAACAATGTGGACAGTAGCAGCGGAGTGTTGGTTGTTGGCTCATCGCCAGAACTTTCTGCCAGTGTTCGTCGCTGTTATCGCCTGAAACGAATGACAAGTGCAGTCCGTTCCCCGTCGAGAGATGATGTTGCATTAAAAGTATTAGAAGTCACACTATTGTCCATAATTTGTATTAAAAGTCATCTCCAGGAACTCCTATCCATGTGTGAAGGTATGTGCTATACTTCGTATATTAATAATACGGAGTAATGGTCAAAATTTAAAATTTTCTATTTCTTTTACATGTTCTTTTGATTCTCACAGCTCAAAGACAAATTGGGGAGACTCACCTGAATGAGACAAGCTCCAGATCCCATCAAATTCTTAAACTGGTATGAATGCATCCGGCCTTTCCTCTCTTTACTAGTTATAATTCTTACTTCCTCCGTTCTTTTTTAGTTGCAACATTCTCTTTTTCACGTTTGCCAACGCACATTTTTGACAGTCATTATATTTAGTTATAGATTAGTAAAAAAATTAAAAATCAGATTATGAAACTTAGTAATGAGACGAATTCAACAATATTTTTTAAAAAAAATATTTCACATACATTAATGAATAAAATGTAGTCAAAGTAGAGTACATGAATAGTGTATAAATTGCAATGTTGCAACTAATATGATACGGAGGATAGTATTTATTTGGACTCCTAATGTTTTTATTCTGAACTAATGAATTGGTTTTTCGTATACAACTGAAAGCTCTGCTCATGAGTTTATAGGGAATGACAAAAAACAACCTTAACTGCTGCTCTTCTAGTGTGGTACATAAGCATCGATTTGTCATGGACAACTTTTTATTTTCCCCTTCCTAACCCCCAGACTCTGATTAACTAAATGCAGAACTTTGTTGATCTTGCTGGAAGTGAGCGGCATCTCAGGCATTATCTGTTGGTCGAAGGCTCAAGGAAGGCTGTCACATATCAACCGTAGTTTGTTCACTTGGAACTGTCATTCGCAAACTAAGGTTGATTCCCTTGGTGTGGGAGATGGACGAACCGTATAGAAGGAGGAGAGAGAAAAGAAAAAAGTAAAGAAAACATGGAAAACAAAAAAAACACAATTACCGGCTAAAAAGGGTCTTCTTCCGGTAAATGGGTTAATATGATTATTTTTTTGTAGTAGACATGTTTATGTGATGCTTTTTTAAGTACATGGGTCTACCTGATGGAATTACAATTGCACAAGGGCCTATTTGACCCATTTTCCTAAAATAAATTAATAATTAAACAAGATAGAAAAAATGAATGACAGAAGGACAAGAAAACACCAAATATCACCTTAACTAAATCGATTAAGAATAAAAATAATCTGTAACATGAGGCAAAAAATTGTACCTTTCTTGTTTATATATCCCCTTTTTGATCTCTTTTTACGGGGGACATTTTTCGCAAAAGAGTAGTTTACTCTCATGCAGATTGACTCTCCATAGAATGGCATGTTCTGCCGTTGCATTGAGAAGGCTCTACTGCAATGTAAGACAGCAAGAGATCCCACGATTACTGACTTACCAAACTGTGTTCCGAATCATACACATACAACATCTTAAACACTTGTTCCAAAATAATATCCAAGCATTTAATGTTAAAAATAGACTATGCTGTAGCTGACATATGCAGAAAATCTATTCTCAAAAGCCAATGTTAATTGTGAATGATTGATATAGATTTTGTTTATAAAAAAGAAAAACAAATGAGCTGCTCTCCTCTATTGAAAACTATAAGTCTCTAACATACAACAAACTCCAGTGTGGCGTGTGGACACAATAATCTGTTTAGACGTAGCATCAAAATCATCAAATTCAGGTTCAAGAACATAGCAACGTTTAGATCATTGCGTCCCCCACCCCCACCCCCACCCCAATCAGATATATTAACATATTTTCGCAATGCAACATTAGAAGTCGAGGATTAAGCTGCTAGTGCAAGCTAAGTGTAAAAATGAAAAATTAGCACAAATTATGCATTTCCACCGACGAAGCAGAATCAGTAGGCTGAAAAAAACAAGGTATAGAGGGAAATGAAAAACTGTGTACACTGTAGCAGGATGAGAAAATAGTTTTAGAGGTGTGTAGCAGGATGAATCAGTACAAATTAGATAGGTGTACAAAGTTTTAAAAAAGACGAACTCACCATTCAAAGTTTTACGACTTCGGAACCGCAAATCGGCAGCTGATCAGGCCTCCCGCCTCGAGCTCTATGTGAACTCTAAACCCTAGTTTTAGCTCGTCACCATTTGGGGCGTTTTAAGGTGTAATTTGTTAATGAAATTTTTTGAAGATAACTGCGCAGTTAGACAGCGTAATATACTTCAGAAAATCATTTGACTGTCTTCTCGATTGAATTTTTAGCTGAAATTTGGTATGAGTAAATTAGACTTAATGAAGAAAATGCTAAAAAAAATCATCAAAAAATTCCACCCGAAACCGCCCCAAACGGTGAAAGCCGAACAAAACTTCCTCTAAAAGGGCTTATTTGCACTTTTTATGAAAGTTCGAAAGCTTATTTGATAATTCTCCCTATAAATAAATTATGTAGTATAAATAAATTATCTCTCCTTATTTGATGATTTTATATGATTTTGGCAAGTTTTTCTCGGCAATGTCAAGAAAATCGTCTAAATGTTAACATTGTTGTTGACATTGCAGAGAAAACTTTACAAAAATTGTACAAAATCATTTAAGTAAGGAGTGAGATAATTTATTTGCTAATATTTATGTAGCTATCTCTCATGTCACATGTGCACCGTGCACATCGTAGCATTGGAGATGCTCTAAGAATAGAGCCGGTAGTCCCGGACGACTCAAGAATCAAACCGGATCCGGATGGTTCAACCCGTTCAACGTTCTTCACAAAGTAAGAGTACACTCATTAATATAGATTTTTTTCAATTTTCTATGGGAAATTCTTGAAATAGGAATAAGATGTTTGAAAATTTCAAAACAGGACTAACATGTTTTTATTTCACAAATAGGAGTAGTTACTGCCAAACTTTAGAAATGCTCGCAAGTTTAAAGGATGGTACTGCCAAAACATGATAATAATTACTCATATTTTGGGAATAAAAACATATAGTCCTGTTTTGGATTACACAAACATTTTTCGTCCTATTTAGGACAATTTACCATTTTCTTTTATGTTTTCCATTCTCCAGTTTTCTTTTTTTATTTTCCAGTTTTTCGTTCTTAAATTTTCTGTTTTCATTTTCCAATTTTTCATTTTCAAATCTGAAAACACGATCACCAATTACTTCACCCGATTCTGCGATCGGTCGGAAGACCGAAAGTACGGTCCCCATCTGGAACCGAACTTGGTGCAGCCTCGATAAGGTACCCGATCTCGGGTATAAAAAAGTTTGACTAATTCTTTTCCTTTTTCCCTAGTGATTGGTGTTGAGATATATTATTCTTGTTTGTTACTGTTCAGGAGCCTAAGACATCGCCCCAGTACGGAGCCTGAATGATGAGGTGCATTTCAGCCGATCATGCCTGGTTCGGCTCTTTGGGCCCATGTTGGCCCAAAGGCCCATTAGGGTAGGCTTTTCCCCCTACCTCTTTTCTTATAAATAGGAGGCCTTCCCTCCATGTTAACGGTTGGTCTCTTCTTCCTGACTTCCCCCTCCTTCTTTCTAGATAGCATAAACTCTATTAATGGGAGCTCAAATTGTACATTGTAATGGTGAGGCTCAGTATTAACGAGAATGAGAGGGCTTGAACATTAGCCTCAAAAGTCTTGTGGTCTTCTCCCTTTCGGGTTTCCAAGTAAATATCGAGAATTCATACAATTTATATCTATATTTTTATATCGTGTTAGATTAAACCCAACATTGGCGCCGTCTGTGGGGATCTTGTTCAAAAAGATTCATGTGTTCTTGATTCTACTCATTTTCAGAAAAGAAGGAAAAGAAGAAGCTAGGCAATCTGGAAGTTCAAATCTCGTTTTTCCCAGTTCTAGGTTGAGGTCGTCGGAGCCGCCGTCACCATCCCCGCCGTCGTGACACCCACCGTGAGTTTACCGGCACCGAAGGAAGCTTGTTGCAGTGTCCCCATCCGAAATAGGCTGGAGGGTGATGGGAGGAATATTTACCCCGACATGCTCAAAGAAAAATAGGCCATGGGGTCCAAGTGTTAAAGCAACCAATTACTCCTTCAATCAAATCATCTGCAAAAAGGCAGCAGACAATGATTCAATAAGTGGGACATGGCTGATTACTATTTCAAAATTGCTCTTTGTACACACAATTGTACACTCAATGTACACACTACTTAACCCCAAAAAAATTTACCCCCCTCTTTTCCCCTCACTCCCCCACCCGACCCACGCTTCTCACTCGCTCCCCACTCGGCCACTCCTTTCTCTTCTTCCCTTCACCGAAATCAACAAACAAGCTTCCACCTTCATCAACCTTCACAAAGCTTCCTCTTCGATGGATTTTCCGTACGACGACACGTTGGTGACTAACTTCGATGATTTTTGGGCTTCATGGAATGAGAATCCCGGAGGCAGTGAAGTTGGGATGTCTTCCGGAGCTGGAGAAATTCAAGGACAGACGGCCGAAGCTGGAGAAGGTGACGGGATGACGGATGGAGGCGGAGAGGGGTCTGGAGATAACACCGGAGTTGGAGATGTTGTTGGACGCACTCTTGGAGCTGGAGAAGATGACGATCACACGAACCTAGCCGGGGTAGATGAAGGGCTGACGTCGCCGGCGGCCATGGACGTCGTTTTTGACCTTGGTATAGTGACGTAATCTTCTTGAACGTTGAAATACGTTTACTCTCACAGGCATGTTGTTAGAGGTGGAAGTTGTTTATGTGTTAATTTATTTGTTTATGTGAGTTTTAGTGGGTTTATGCTTGTTTATGTGGGTTGTTAGTGTTTGCAGAATGTCATAAACATGTTTGTTTGTGTAGTATTCAACGTGTCTGTGACACATAAGCATGCATACGTTTGGTGACACATGCAAGTCGTAGGAGCTGTCACTTGTTTATGTGTGTGTTTGTTTGTGTATGAAGACAGTGGAAGATTTATTTGTTTGTGTAGTATTTCAACTAGTCTGTGAAAGATTTGAATTGTCTGTGTGCATATATCACTGTCTGTGTGATATTGTAAGTTGGTTAGAACACATTAATAAATGAATCATGTAACATAACAGATGGAGAAGAGCTGCCAAAACAGAATGAAGTTGGTCAAGATCCGGAAGTTGGTATGGAGTTTGAAAGTAGAGAAGCAGTCTATGATTTTTACAAAGCATACGGGAAGCGTTTGGGATTTCCTATAAGAACTAGGAGCACAACTAAAGACAAAAGAGGAGAACACATTGTGTCAATTCTACTAGAATGTTCGCGGGCTGGTCGAAGATGTAGTCAGTCAAAAAATCGATTGAAGCCCCAACCTTCAATGCAAATAGGGTGTGAAGCTAGACTACGAGCGCACGTAAATTATGCGGGAATTTGGCAAATTTCAAAAGTCTTTTTACAACATTCACATCCTATGAGTCCAACTGTAACGGTGTAGCTAATGTGCCAATTGTGTAATCTACTGGTTTAGATTTAAATCTATCTTTGATGTGAATTAATTGGTGTTAAATGTATATTTGGTGTTAAACGGTGCAGCTACTGGTGGCACAATTGTATAGTTTTTTGTCTGGTTTTTGTCACTGACAATATTTTGTGAAATATAATTTAGTCACAGACATACGTATTACCTCGCCTAGACAATATTATATACTCACAGACACAAGGGTTTACAAACAAAAAAAACAATATGATGCATTCCATACCAAATTGTTACTTCGTTACACAAAAATCAGCAGTGTAATGTTTTCTACAACCTTCATATGTACCCTCCTGTGGAAGTACCTTGTAGGACATTGTACAACGTTGATCATAGCACAACAATGTACATTATCATACATTCCATTCCAAAAACGGTTACCAAAAACTAAATTGTTAGCAAAAAAAGATATTTACAGCTACATAATGTTTGATTCATTAGCAAAAAATGTACATTGCATGTTTTCTAAGAAACTGGCTTCCTCAAACTCCAAAGGCGTAGCGCAAAGTGCCATCTCTTTGTAGCCACGTTCGCATACTCGCAATGTGGCGTCAAGGGAAGTCCCAACAACAAAGCCTCAGCATAACAAACAACCATCAGTCCGCAAACAGTTCTGCCACACAAACATAACAACGAATTAATATGTATTCACAGACAAATTAGTACACTACACATAAACAAATTTGTAGGTGAGCAGATTAACATTACCCTCCCTCTTGTTGTGGAACATCTGCAGCTAGCTGAGCATTCCAATGCTCTACCTTAGAAAGATCTGGGTGGGCTTGTATGAATCGGAAGAGTAGCGGAAGTCTCACACACAAATGCGCCGCATGCAACATTGACCTACTTGTTCTCATGGAGTCATATACACGTACCAATTTTGCATGTAGGTCAACTTCCGCTAAAACCCAATGCATCCCATCAACATTCAAAGGTACAAAAAACTGAACACAATAAATAAATAAAAAACTTATGCGCTATGTTTGTATACAAACAAAAAATAGTTAACACACAAACAATTGAATAACGAAGGTAATCACTTACTTTTTGTAAACCTCTCCAGTCAACACTAGGTAGACACCTATCAGCAGTCCAGGCATTCTCATCCTTATAATCCTTAGTCATGACTTGATGCTACACAAACAAAAAGTTATTATGGCAATGTTATCTTAAATAATTATGTATGTTCTGTACAGATAAACAACACATACCGCAAAGTAAGGGCTTTTAGCTTATACGGCTTGTCCGACGCACAATCTTTCAGAAGCAGGTAGGAAAGAGCATCCATATGCTAACAAAAAACAATGTCAGACATATATTTATACATGACAATATATGAAAATGAGAAGGCACTCACATATGACCATAAAGACTCATCTGGTTCCACGAGCTCACGGAAAAGGTCCCTGTCCACTTCATCAAATGATGGCAGATTAAGAACAAACGTTTTAGGTTCAACAGTGTCAACTTCTTGAATCCAAGCTTTTAGAGATGCAATATGATTATCAGTTGGGTGAAATATAGCAGGTTGAATGGAGACAATGGGCTCAACATATGGTGAGCACTGGTATTTGGAACGACAACGTTTTCTTTTTTTCACTTCTTTCCTGCTCACAACTTGTATGGCCTCAACATCTATTGGCGCACTCCCAACATCATCTCCATCCCAATCCAAATTTTCAAATGGATCGGGGGCTGTTAACGGAGGTAAGGGTTCCTATTCACAACAAATATAATACATTGTTATGTCTTTGTACACACAAACAAACACTATTAATGGACACCAACATTGAGACTCATACACAAACAATCACAAACAGAACAACACAACTTTACCTCATTTAAAGACATCATAAGATCTGGGAAGTTGATTGCTACCTTATTCTGCTCAGTTTCCCAATTCACCTATTGAATAATTAACAACTTCATTTCTAATTCTACAAAAATAACAATAAAGATAGATAAAAACCCATACCTCAGTCATTACAGCGGAGATGATTACATCTGCCCGTGTGGCATCTTCACCATCTTCACTATCAGCAACATGGTCAGCATCTCCTTTCACAACCTCAACCTGCATCGACACTTCTTCAGTGGCTACATTTGGTTCCTCTTCTTGTACGTTCTTCTCACCGTCACCCGCAGCCGCATCATCAGCAACGCTATCATCATTAACAACACTTGTCTTCAAAACATCTTCACCGGCAGGTACTCGTTCATCCCCAATTGCATCCTTATCAACCTACAATGCATATAGTTTAATGTGTTAGTCGCGTAGATAATGCAAATGGCCATACAAGTAAGTTTGATCATACCTCTTCCTCAACCGATGGGTTCGGTTTGCCAACCAACTTCAGAAGTAGTACCTTTATTTCTGAAAGACTTTTTTCAACATAAGTGATTTTGTTTTCAACCCTTTCAACATACTTCCGTAGGTCATGCAGCTCCTCCAATATTTTAACCTTTTCGAACAAGCGCAGGTCTTCCTCAGTCATTTCTTCTTCTTGGTTCTCTTCTTCCTGTCCCCCCTCTGAATCAGAAAGCTTTTCCAACTCCTTAAAAATCATTGAAGCTTTATTGTCAAATGATAAAAATACATAACATTAACAAAATCAATGACAGATTACCTCTGGAAATACTACTCGTCTAAGCTTAGAGTAATGAAATTTTCGTTCGGCCTTCCAATTGAGTAATGGCACATCATGATTACCCACTTTGTTTGCAAAGTTCTTCCCAACTTCATTAATTTCTTCGTAAGCCCACACCTATAATAACCAAAGAATACATTTCTAGTTCGCACAATAAGAAATAAGTAATAGATATTGTTCTCTTATATATGAACAAATAAATAAGCACAATAGGGAAGTTGTCATATATACCTGCAAAACTAGTGGAAAACCGTAGATAGATAGCTTGGCATTTCTATAGTTTGGATTGTTCTCCTTCAGGTCCTTGAACTTCTGAGGTTGACCATCCATCAGACCCTTCATATGACTCACCAATAACTTGTACGAACGAAGTGACCACAGACACTTCTTGAATTCCTCTAAATCATTCACCAGTCTGATAGAGGATGCATTTGTCCTCGTAGTGTTGTCCTTAGCAAGCAACACACACTCAATATAGAACAAGGAGGCCAACTTTACAGCATCCATCTGATCACGACGTTTGGAAAGTTTCAGTTTCTCAAACTTGTTCTTCAAATTGACGTGTGTAATGTCGACTGAGCCACCTAAATACTTCTTAGCAATGGCCCCTACTGGTTCAGCTTCATCGCCAGATTCTTGTCCTGAAACATCACCTGCAGCAGCTACTAGTTCAGCACCCGCTGGTAATCCACTTATGCGGCAAAAATCCACATAAGTAAACTTATACAGTGTACCCCCAATGGCAAACCACAGCTCCTCATCAGGTTGCTCCTGCACAAGGTGTAAGGCCAGCATGTGAAAGACTTGGCCAGAGAATTGTGTGGGTGGGATGTCAATAAGATGGCCCCATGGTAAAGCGCGAAAAATTTCTATTTCTGTTGCAGATAAGCTGCTTGTACCCATTTGGCAGCATTTCTAAAGTTTGAACACACCGAAAACTGGGCAGGGAAGTAGTCATGTCTGGGAATGCATAACTTCAGGGCTCTGGCAGTTGGAAGAACAATAAATTATTAGGGCAGACAGACAAAAGGTGACGTTCATAGACCTAAAGTATATTCACAGACAATAAATAACACTCCACAGGAACTTTACACCACCACACAGACAATTTATAAACATCAGCAAAGGAATTACACTATGTCATAGACATAATTTCATTCACAAGCAATAAATAACAAAAAAATGAAGTTAACACCACCACACAGACAACTTGCGCACATCAACAAAGGATTTACACTATATCATAGACAAAATTTTAAACCAGTCCACTGATAAATGTTCGAAGATTGCAAAAAACCCAACAAACTAAATAATAAACCTAAAAACAAACAAAGGTTGGGAAATGATACATACCTCTCGGCCATCTCTGCCAGTGGTGTTCGCACCATTGTTGTGCGTCGTGGTCCAATCTCAGTCCGCGGCGAGGAGGCTGTTTCTTCACACACACCTGGAATCAATCGCGAAGAAGAGAGTGTAAGTGGGGGTGCCGGTTTCGTGGGGATGTGGGAGAAAAGGAAGGGGATGTCACCGCAAGTTTGGTTTTCGAGAAGGAGGAAGTTGCTTAGGCTCGCCGCAGGAAGTTGCGGCTCGTTGATTTTCGCCGCAGTTGTAAGGAAGAAGAGAGAACCGGGACTTTTGATTTTCGAGGAGCGGGGGAGCGAGTGAGAAGCGTGGGTCGGGTGGGGGAGTGAGGGGGAAAAGAGGGGGGTAAATTTTTTTGGGTTTAAGTAGTGTGTACATTGAGTGTACAAATTGTGTGTACAAAGAGCAATTTTGTTACTATTTTGAGAGGATGTTGTAAATTACTTGCAACCGAAGTTATCCCCTGCATGCTACCAAAGTTTCCGCACGTCGCAACTTTTCTACCAAAGCAGATCCGTCTGAGAAGCCCTGACAGGGAGGATAACGTCTTATGAGCAACCCTCGTTCCACCTGAGACTAACAAGGTGTGCTTCCATGCACGTACGCGTGGAACTCAAGGGAAACATCGGAAGGGATGTACTGTCTCGAACGGGAAGTCCGACCAAGAGCTAAGTGTCACCTGATTACAACAAGGTGGGCTAAATGAGGCTACAATCGGTTACAACACA